TTCGGGGCCGGCAACGGGCTGGCAGGAGGAGGAGAGTGCGTGGTCGGAGGAGGAGGAAGAGTCGTCGGGGGCGGCTGCGGGGTGGGAGGGGCTGCGCTGCTGGGGGGAGGAAGGGGAAGGAGCTGCTTTCCTTTAGGGGGGCCCGGGGAGGGGGGGCTCAGTACTTGACCCCCGAGGACTTGACCGTGGTGGTGGTGACACATCTGCGCACCGAGGACGAGCCCCCCCCGGCCACGAAGTTTCCGGCCGAGGAGCTGCACACCCTCCCGCTGCCGGAGGAGAAGCCCCCGCTGAGGATCCCCCCTCCCACCCCGCAGCCGCCCCCGACGACGCTTCCTCCTCCTCCGACCACGCACACTCCTCCTCCTGCCAGCCCGTTGCCGGCCCCGAAGCCGCCGGCCCGGCCCCCGCACACGGTGGTCCTGCCCACCACGGCTGCAAGAGAGGAGGAGACCGGTTGAACACCCTCGAGCATCCCGGGAATCCTCAAAAAAAACCCCACCCCCCAGGATAAAGGTAATTCCCGAGAGAAAACGATGGAAAAAATACTCACAGACATTCACGTTGGACGGGTTGTCTCCACAGAGCCTGTGAAGGGAGAGGAGCACCGGGTGAGACTGAGACAAGTGAGCCCCAAACTCCATGAAATCCCCCCGATATTCCCTGTGTATCCCGTTTCATTTAAGATCAGTCAGACCCACGGAGGAACATTCCACCTTGGGACCACGCCTCCATTCTGGGCTTCAAAATTCGGAGTTAGAAAAAGGGAGGGAAGTCAGATTTCAGCATCGAACACGCTGTGAGAGGTGATGAGAGGTTAATTCGACCCAAGGAGGGGCAGGAGCTCCATCAGGCCCAGGCTGGGAGGTCTCACCTGTTCTCCTCCCCCTCCAGCAGCTTCCTGTACATGGCGATCTCCACGTCCAGCGCGATCTTGATGTTCAGCAGCTCCTGGTACTCCTTCAGCAGCCGGGCCAGCTCCTCCTTGTCCTTGCTCAGGGCACATTCCAGCTCCTCCAGCTTCCTGCGGGCGTCCTTGAGGGCCAGCTCGCCCCTCTCCTCGGCCTCGGCGATGGCCGACTGCAGGTGGTGGTTCTGGGGGAAGGAAACGTTTCTCGTTCCTGGAGAATCCTCGGGGATTCACTGGGGGGAGAACAGGCAGGAACCGCCCCAGGAGGCACCAACCAGCCCTTTACCTGCTTCTTCACGTTCTCGATCTCCGTCCGCAGCCTCTGCACGTTCCTGGTCAGCTCCTGGATCTCGATCTTGGTGTTCCGCAGGTTGTCCCCGTGGCGCCCGGCCGTGCTCTGCAGCTCCTCGTACTGGTGGCACGAGGGGACAAAGGGACCCGTCAGTGACACAACCGACCCAGGGCTCGGGTGTTCCCCTTGCTCCAGGGGCCTCGACTCCCTCCCAGGAGCTCACCCTGCTCTGGTACCAGGCCTCGGCCTCGGCGCGGCTGCTCTGGGCGATCTGCTCGTACTGGCGCCGCACCTCCTCGATGATGCTGTCCAGGTCCAGGTGCCGGTTGTTGTCCATGGACACCACCACGGACAGGTCCCGGCTGATGGTCTGCATCTGGGCCAGCTCCTGCGGACAACCCGCGGCTCAGAGGGAGCAGGGAAGAGCAGCAGCTCCGGGGCGGCGTCTCCACACCAACCCCAAGTGGACACTCAGCCCAGCCCCGGTGTCCTCGGCCACCACACCCTCATTAAAGCTTTGCCCAGGGGAAGGGAGAGCTCCTAGAGAGAGCTCCTAGAGAGAGCT